CTACTTCATAGTCGATATTTAAATTCCACGAATCCATATCTGGACTCTACTTCGCCCACAGTATGCATGCGATCTGCAACTATTATAGTTCATTGGCTCGAAATTTTATTAGATAAATGTGAAAATTTCTTCGCGCTTGCCGTATCCGGGTCATTTGCAATTAGACCAGCTATGCGTGTTTTCTCTTGGCACGCGAAATACGATGTGACAAGGATTGAAACAGAAAATGGATATCAAATCATCAAATCATCAAATTGCAAAAAAGCGGAAGAAATGGACTTGCGTCTTAGAGCAATTGAACCTCGAATTTCGAAAATTTCTCAAGGATATGATAGGGGAAGGGTCCAAGAGGATAACCACGGAGAATGTAGTCTTACTGAGTGGTTAGGAATACCTACACACCCACGTAATAGGATAAAAGATGCTGTGATGAAGGCTAGAGAATGGGAGGTTTTTGTTGCAGACGATGATAGTTCGTTGAGAAAAAAATATGGTTGGATAGCTAGGAAGCAATCAGGTGGGTTTTGGGGGCCAACCAGAAGAAGTTCAAACTTTAAAGGAATCAGATCATATTCTCATTCCCAACATGATTTTTTAATTTTGAAAGAGCCTGATGACCTCAATTTCACGTTTAAAACTGATAAAGACATACAGTTTTCTGCTTTTCAACAACAGACACAACCACCAAAAAAAATTTTTCCAAAGGTGGAACCTGATGATTTAAATGAATCGGAACAAATTTCTCAAAGTCGGGAGCAACCTTTTAATTCATTTCTTGATTATTATTAACTGAGAATGGAGTTATCATATATGTAGGCTCTTGATTTGGGTTTAGCAATATTATCCACTAATTGTATTATAATCTCATTTAACTTATTAAAAGCATAATGTGCGCACATAGAATTTGTCGTGTTTAAAGTAACATCCGATAATTTTTTTAAAGTTTCATAGAATATATACCATAATTAGGTGTAGGATTTTATTGTAAAATTGATCACCAGCGTTTACCTTTTGAGGTTATTGGGAATACATATATTGACCAATAGGAATCGATGGTTGCGAAAAGTGACCAGTTTTTTGGTACAAGGAGTCTATCCGAAACCCACAATGTCTCAGACTTCTAGAGTGTCAGCGCTAACTTCCCCAGCCGAAACACGCTTGCCGAAGCGTGTTTCGATTGTTGATAGGAATCTTAATAAAACAAAAGGCACAGAGGTAAATTGAATGTCACTGGAAACAGCATCTTTAGATTAGGCTTCAACTGCAATTTTCTTCAATAGGTTGGGCTAAGTGCCTTCGCATTCCTG